CTTGTGTAAAAAAATATTAATGTTTAAAGCCAATAACCTTTATTGTTGAGGCTTAATTAAATAAAAATATAAAAATATATTATATGTTCTAGTTAGATAATTTAACATTTTGATACTTTATTTACAGTGGCCGATGGCTGTTCATAAAACAATATTAAAATATATACATATTTCATAATATTGTATTATTTGTATACTATACCTATTATTTCTCAATTGACGAATAAACATATGATTATTTGATATATTAGATTAAAAAATAATTATACAATAAAATACACATCATTTTATTATATTTACTTTTATATATCATAATAAATTATACTAAATAATGAAGAATTAATTAGAAATCATATTCTATATCAGATTTTAATTAATATCCACACAGAATATTGATAAACATTTAATTTATTTATATGTCGGTGTTTGTATAAACTACTATACTAAATTATATACCTATATATAGATTCTTTAGTTATATTTATATTTAATGATAATGAATATAATAACTAATAAGTGATAATTTACTAATTATGTATTATAAGCTTTTCAGTAGTAAAATAAAACTATAAAACTAGGTTTTAACTGTTTAAAAAATTAAAGTACAATAGAATGAGATACCAAAAAGTTATCAGTAGGCATATGATATATCTTGAAGTATATCTAAATCTTGTCGTCAATAATATAAAATTCTTTGGATTTTTTTTTTTAAATTTCACCAAATTAAAAAAGATATATATCTGAATAGTTGCTTAATAATAACAGCTACAAAGAACATATTTTGTTAAATTAATTAGATAACTAATATAATCATTGTTCATTAATATATTATTTGTAATTAATTGTACTTGAAAATAAAATAGTAAAATAATCATTATAACTATATTTTCCGTGTCTTACGAAATTCTTTGCAGAGCGATTAATGTTTTGATTTTACAATTTGTATTTTTTTGTCATCAATCATCACCTTATGGCGCAGTAAAAATATTTCAGTCTTCAACTTTAATATATTCTCTGCGATAATAAAATAAGTCTTATTATAATGGGTCAAAAGTAAAATTAAAAAATCGTTATTTTGATGTAAACTTAGATTTTGAAAATTCGATTTTGCTATTTTGTCTTTATTGAAAAACGAATAACAAACAGTAGATAGATTCATTTAATTTTTACTAAAGCATTAGTAGTTTCTGTTCATGGAATAATTTTAAACTTTTATCAATTCCTTTTGCAGTTATTATGAGTTATTTATTGACATTTTGACATTTCCTATTTTTTTTTTTTTTTGTAAATAACGTTAAAACAATGTCCGGTTAAAAGTTTTAAAATTGAATACAAGGTATTCCACACAAGCTTAAGTTTTAATTTTGACAAAATTGGTCTTTTGCACAAAAAACAACAAGTTTTGTTTTGTAATTCGATAAGTATTAATCTTATAAACTTGAAACTTTCCTCTATTATTTAAATATTCATTTTTTTACTCAATTAAGTAATTTAAAAATATTGAAATTAATTTTGATCTATTGTCTGCTGTCTATTTTTATCACGAACTTAATACGTTCTACGTTAGGTCATGGTATTGATTCATTT